CGGAAAAATCAAATATACGAGAAAGTGAGTCGGGTTTGATGTTCTTAGAACCCGGACGATATTGGAGAGAAAAATCAAAACGACCGAAAAAAAGTGCCCACCGAGCCTGCCTGGAGTTCAATCTTTTAGCAGTTCTGATATATTCGAGGTTCTTATGATCAGTCCAGACGATAAAAGGTACCCCCGACCCTTCTAACCAGTGACGCCACTCCTCCAACGCCAACTTGACTGCCAACAACTCTCTATTACCAATGTCGTAATTACGTTCGGCTGGAGATAAACGATGGGACAAAAACGCGCAAGGATGCATCTTGTCGTCTACAGGTGAACGCTGAGATAACACCGCCCCTACTCCCACCTCTGATGCGTCGACCTCCACCACGAACTGACGTGATGAATCAGGGGTAATTAGAATGGGGGCTGAAACAAAGCGGCCTTTGAGTTTCTTGAACACAGTCTCGGCTGTGTCGGACCACCTGAACGCAGTTCTGGGGGAGGTCAAGGCAGTCAGAGGCGCGACCAGCTGGCTGAAGTTGCGAATGAATCGCCGGTAGAAATTGGCGAACCCCAGAAACCTCTGCAGGGCCTTGCGGGAATCTGGACTTGGCCAATCCACCACAGCCTTAATCTTCTCAGGGTCCATCCGCATCCCCTCAGACGACACGATGTATCCTAAAAAAGGAACAGACTGTGCATGAAAATCGCATTTCTCCGCCTTGACAAAAAGCCCATTCTCTAGCAACCTCTGAAGCACTCGTCGGACGTGCTGCACATGCTCCTGGAGAGATGCAGAAAAAATCAATATGTCATCCAGGTAGACATATATGAATTGATCGATCATATCTCGCAACACGTCATTGACCAGTGCCTGGAAAACTGCTGGGGAGTTGGACAGCCCAAACGCCATGACCAAATATTCAAAGTGCCCCCTAGGGGTGTTAAACGCAGTTTTCCACTCATCACCCTCCCTGATGCGGACCAAATGATAAGCGTTACGTAAGTCCAATTTGGTGAAGATGGATGCTCCCTGCAACCTCTCGAAGGCTGAAGACATCAACGGCAAAGGATAAGTATTCTTTACCGTGATGTTATTCAGCCCTCGGTAATCAATGCAAGGTCGCAGAGAACCATCCTTTTTCCCCACAAAAAAGAACCCCGCCCCCGCTGGAGAAGAGGAAGGGCGAATGAACTTGGTTGCTAGAGAATCAGAAATATATTTCTCCATAGCCTCTCTTTCAGGAATCGAAAGCGAAGATAACTTGCCCTTAGGCGGAGACTTACCTGGGAGTAAATCTATTGCACAGTCGTAGGGACGATGCGGAGGGAGAGAAGCAGCACGAGACTTACTGAACACTTCCTTCAGGTCCAGATACTCCGCGGGCACGTTAGACAAATCCCCTGCTTCCTCCTGAAACACAGAAACAGGTACAGACGAACAAGCAGACACGAGACAAGACCTATGACATTCCTGACTCCACTCCAGCACAGATCTATGTATCCAGTCCACTCGGGGGTTGTGTTGAATGAGCCATGGGTGTCCTAGAACAACGGGTGCCAGGGGTGAATCCAGAATAAAAAATGAAATAGTTTCCGAGTGATTGCCAGAGGTGATGAGAGTGATTTCTTCAGTGGATAATGAGATGGTGGGAAGTTCTTGTCCGTTGAGTGCATGAACTGCAATCTGCTGTGGGAGGGGTTTGATTGGAATCTGAAATCTGCGTGCAAAATTATGGTCCATGAAATTACCTTCGGCCCCCGAATCCAACAGTGCTTGACAATCGTGCTGGTGGACTGACCATCTTAGTCTTACCGAGAGGAGGGTGGAGGTAGATCTTGTCGTGGATGAGGTCTTCCTGGCGGAGATCCCACCCGATAGTAGCCTCATGTTTACTATCGGGCTGGACCTTTTACCGGACAGTTGTAGGCGTAGTGTCCGGCTCTTCCGCAGTACAGGCAAAGGCCCTGGGACCTCCGCCTCTCCCTCTCCTCCCGGGAAAGCCGAGCTCGACCCACCTGCATGGGCTCGTGATCGTAGACGGGGCTGACCACGTCCCTGCCGCTGGATCGTAGCCCGTCGGCTGCCTCAAGTGTGCGGGTGGGCGTGGCTCGACGCTCGACTCTGGACAGCCGAGCGTCCACCCGCAGGGCCAGATCAATGAGTCCGTTGAGGGTAGTGGGAAGATCCAGGGCGTAGATCTCCTTCTGGACGTGGTCAGCCAGCCCATGCAGGAACATGTCCCACTGCGCCTCCTCGTTCCATCCACACTCCGCCGCCAAGGTCCGGAACTCGATGGAAAACTCGGACACTGATCTTCTTCCCTGCCGTAGCTCGACCAATGTTCTGGCCGCCTCTCTTCCAGTGACCGCACGGTCAAAAACCAGTCTCATCTCGGCGGCGAGGGTCTGGAACGAGGCACAGCATGGATTTTGGTTTTCCCACCACGCCGTTCCCCAGAGTGCCGCTCTCCCAGTCAATAGCGTCAGCACAAACGCCACTTTGGCTTGCTCGGTCTGAAAAGTGTGAGGTTGCAGGGAAAAGTGCATGGAACATCGAGTCAAAAAAGCTCTACAAAATGACGGTTCACCTGAGTATGCCTCTGGGGTGGGTAGCCGGGGTTCTGACTGGGAGGGGCTTCCTGATGGTGCGGGAGGAACGGCCGGTGTGGGTGGCGCAGTGGGAGGTCGTAGGCGCTGGATCTGCTGGGTGAGCTCGGACACCTGCGTCACCAGGGCTTGAACTGCACGGCCCGTATCTCCAATCTCCTTCTCTTGCGAGTCCATTCTACGGATGCTGTGATGGATGAACTCTTCGAGTGAGGATGACGAGGCGCTCGCTGCTTCCATACCATGGTCAGATCGTTCTGTCATGTTAGGCAGAAACACAGGAAGCAATCGCGAGTATAATACAATATTTATTTGAAGCACAAAACACACAAGTCCAGGGTGCAGTGAGCCAGGTGGAGATAGGTGACGCAGGGACTTCGATGGTCAATACCGGTGACGTGCAGACAAACGGTGAGACGATCCAAATCCACACGGAAGACGACGAACAGGAAACACCAGGCAGGAACACGAACCAGAAGACAGGGGAACATCAAACAACGATCTGACAAAGGTGAGAGAACAGCGGTGAGTTTAAGAAGCGTGGTGAGATGAACTGCAGCTGGTGATTGTAATGATGAACAGCTGGAGTGGATCAGGTAATGACATACAGACACGCCCCTTGCACACGTGCACTCATACAACAACATAAACACAAGACTAGAAGGAACCAGCGAATACATCTACCGTGACAGGAACAGCAGTGACAGATACACTCTGTGTAAGCCCTCTCCTATCATCCTTCCAGGCAAGAAGGGGCAAGAGGCTCGCACAGGGCGCTGGATGGGGTCAGCAGCTGTGGCCCTTTGGTAGGGATTCCTATTCGTCAGTTTCGATCCCGTCGCCACATCTGCTGCGGCCCGCTGGGGCAGCCAGCTTATCGGCTCGGCTCCTCAGCAAAAAACTGAAGTGCAATCGCACCTGCTGCTCATTATATACCCGCACTGCGTGGCTGAACAGCTGATGCAAACGATTGCACGCCAATGTGCATTGGCTCGTTTAGTTTCACTCGAAGTAGTTTGGCCTCTTCCTATTCGTTGGTCTCCGTAGCTTCTCCGTTCCCTCCTTCAGGGAACGAGGGTTACCATATGTAACCTAGACGTTTCATGAGTTTCCATGTTCTTAAAGCTTCTTTTTTTTCTTTTTTTTTTTACTTCAATAATTAATTAATGGAAAGGATTATTTTATGGAAATATCAGGAATAAAAGTGGAATGCCTGACAAACAGTCACACTCACAGTAATACTGGAACCAAATGATTTTCATGATTTTTGACTGTTAACAGCTATGAAACGTCTTCCTTTAACAATTGTCTTTTGAGCATGATTCATAACACTACTTTTGTGATGTACTCCCTTGTGATGAAGTGTGAAATAAAAGGCCATTTAAGTGTACCTAAAGAGAGTACATTTTCATGAATGTTTCTTAACACACTTAAGTACACTTTTTTTAAAATGGACTTTGTAGTAATGGCAAATTAAAAGTTTTAAAGTAATAAGTACTCTTTTAAAATGTATGCTAAAAGTGTCCTTTTTCACAAGGGCTTGTCACTTTGAGATCAACTAAATCTAAAGTATCCATTTAAAAGAGATAACAGAGTTGCTTCATACAAAAAAAGTAAGCTCTTTAAAGAATTGTATAAAAAATTCTTATTTCTTAATAATGTTCAGCTGAAATTTCAAATGATCTCCTAATCCAACATGAATTCTAAGTGTACTTATGCAATAGGAATTATTTTCATTACAGTTTCCATACTTTCTCCCTCAAAATTAATAATAAGAGAATCGTTTACAGTACAGTAAAGGAACCAAACCAGTAAAGTGAATTGGCAATGGAACCAGAATCTAATATACCTCCTGATAAATAAACCTCCAGAATTAATTTTAAGAATCCTGGTGGGGACAACAGCACACTGGCATCCAAAGACCCAACATATGCTGGTGACCAGCAGTACTACTCTTTTCAGCAGAGCAGAAATTACGAGGGAGGGGACAAAAACTGATCCAATGTGATCTCATGAGTGCTGACTAATTATGTGTTTATCTCACCAGTTACAGTGAACCATGTGGTGCTGAATTCATATGAGCAGGTGGACAAAACCCAATCCTCTCCGATTGGACAATGTCAGTTCTTCCACCTTACACTGTTTAAAGACAACCCCTCAAAATCAATATGCCTAATGTGCGGTATGCAAAGGGGACATTTTTGTATTGCATTGTTTATATTGTATTATATAATATTATATTGTTTTATAGTTATAAAAATAATTTTAAATTAGTTCACCCAAAATAAAATTTCTATTATTTACTCACCCCCATCACCCAGACAATGCCAGTGAAATGTTATCACCATCTACCTATCTTCCACCTAAAATATCCCCCTCATTTCTCTCTCACTCACCATTCTGTCCAGGTGTCCTCCTCCGTCTCCTCTTTCAACTTCTCCTCCTCTAGTCCAGGACAACCTGCCCGCCTCAGGGCCAGAGGTGAACCAGAACCAGTGGATGAGGGAGGTCAGAACAAGAGAGAGAGGTTCTGTAAATGATTCTGGGGTAGAGAAGGCCTCTACTCTACTTTAGTCTACAGAGAGAATAAGAGATCTTGTCCACTAAGCACCTTAATCAATCTGTCTAATCACAGCTTCTATTACTCTTTACACACAAAGAGTAACTATAGGGGGTCTGCAGTCACGTGACTGAGGAATATCATCCTCTTAGCCTCTTAGTTGTCTCAAATGTAGTAAAGTGGGCTTAGTGGCTTTAAATACCGTGGAATCATTCACAATATTATAATTCACTATATTCACTTATCATCACATCATTTCTTTCATGCTGGCTGTACTGAAATTAATTGTAAGGCGAGTCTCATGTGTGCCTTGGGTGCAGAGCGCTATTAATATGACACATTTGGTTGTTGGCTATGTAGAGCGTTCCAAATCAGTCACTTATATGAGGTTCCATTTCTGTTCGGATGCTGCTATAGAAGACAGTGAGAAAGAGCACTGGGTTTTGGAGCAGAGCTATTGTGTTTATAACATGCAGATGCACAGTGAGGTCTGTTTCTGATACAACTTATCACACACTTAAAATTCTAATAAGTGTGATGTGTCACTGAACAGAGAGCAGACTATGTATAAGTATTTAGGAAACTTTATTTAGCAGCCAGCAACCTCTGTGTATATTTTCCCCTAACCATGCCCCTAAAATTAACCCTCATAAGGGCTTTTCATATTGACATAGTTAACCTTGGGTCATTCTAAACCCCGGGTAAAAGAAATCCTGGGTTATCTTGACCCAAGATTCACATTGCTCATAATTTACCCGAGGTTAACAATTAATCTTGGGCATTCATAAACTGACGTTTCACACTGTACATTCCTAACCCTGGGTTAACGTCCTTATTTGCATATTTGCAGTGTCAGTGTCTGACTGGAGTAACGCTTCATGCAATCTTTACACAAAAGCTCTAACGTTGCGCATCATCCTATTACTGTATATATTGCCAACTGTACTATCAAGTTTATCCTGAATGGACTTTTCAGACTATAAAAGTAATAATGAAACGCTCTCTTCTTCACTCCAGTTGTCACGTTTTCAGTCGCCGTTTGACATTTTACCCTTCAAACCCTGAAGATACTGTTTAATACAACGCACAGTGCTTCCGTGACTGTCCAAAGCATGCGAATATGTTCCTAAATAGTTCCTAAATATTTCTGTCATTGTAGATGGTTTCCAAATCTCACCTGACGTCATATCTGAACTTCTCAAATCGTGACAGATTAGCACTGGAGTGTGCAGCATTAGTAGCCTAACGAGGTGTAATCTGCAATATGATCCCGGAGCCTTGGTTAACTCCAACTGCTCCTCATCATTACATTTCGAAACAAAATGTAGTTACACAACATTTTATCAGTCCTTTGTTTAAAATCAATGACATGCACATTAACCCTAATTCCGTAATGCACATAGGCCTATCTGGTATAACTAAGAATTCATCAGTGCATGATATTCCAAAGAAAAAAAATATCTCTTTAGCTTCATAATCAAATCATCTATAATCAAATCTATAATCAATATGTATTCAAATAACCAAAGTCTAAAAACTTGTTCCACCTATAAAATAACTTATTTTCCGCTGACATCACCTAGGCCATGCAGGCTATTGGATAATGTTAATTAATAGCCAAATAGCGTTTTAGACATTCAGGTTTGGCTGCGTTCCAGTACGTTAAGCCCACTTTTTCACTTAATCCAATTAATTTCTGCTGGATAAAGGTCCTGTTCAACATATTTTTTCTTCTTGAAAATCCCGTTTCACTTCAAAATACATCACATTACAAAGTAAAATGTGTTGCGAATGTCATTTCATGTTGACTTTAAGCAACAGTTGTGTTATTAGTATTTGTGGAAACTATTTGTGTTGAGTGTGCTCTACTCTACATGGAAACGGCCTTTACTCACCAGCCATGACAACAGTGCACATGCTGCCATGCTCATCATAGTCAGACACATGGTTACAGACAGAAATGGAGGGGTGGAGTTTGTCCATCAGACTGTATGAGCAAGGAAGAGACACATGTTAATAAGTACATGCACACATTTGACTGTGATTGGGAGAGAGCAAGGAAGGATCAGAGGAATGTGTACTTCACCTGCACCCTCTTTAACCTTCTTCTTTTATCCTTCCATCCTCTCCGCCTGCTCATCCTACTCTCTTCTCATTTATTTTTAGACGGCTTAGTCGAGGGGTGGAGGATGTTCCCGAGGCCTTCTGTATCAAGCACACAGATCCTAAATGAATGATTGTATGTGAAATGGAGTCATTTATCCAGGTTTTATTATTCTTTGAATTTATTTATAAAAAATTATTCGTGATCAATGAATTTGTGTCCCATGGGTTGAATTTTTTATATATTTTTTTTTATATGCAGTCCAAATTAAAACATTTTACAGTATGTCGTCTTTTATTTTTACTACTTTTTAAATAGCTTTTATGTATATATTTAATTTTACCCAGACCAGCAATTTCAAAACAATGAAAACAATGAAGATTATTCAACATAACCCAATTCAATATTTTGTGAAAATGATGTAAATTAATTTAAATTACATCGCACAGTTCTGCCACCATAACAAACAGTTTTGCGACAACAGTTTGAGACAACAGTGTCGGTATATACACTCACCTAAAGGATTATTAGGAACACCTGTTCAATTTCTCATTAATGCAATTATCTAATCAACCAATCACATGGCAGTTGCTTCAATGCATTTAGGGGTGTGGTCCTGGTCAAGACAATCTCCTGAACTCCAAACTGAATGTCAGAATGGGAAAGAAAGGTGATTTAAGCAATTTTGAGCGTGGCATGGTTGTTGGTGCCAGACGGGTCGGTCTGAGTATTTCACAATCTGCTCAGTTACTGGGATTTTCACGCACAACCATTTCTAGGGTTTACAAAGAATGGTGTGAAAAGAGAAAAACATCCAGTATGCGGCAGTCCTGTGGGCGAAAATGCCTTGTTAATGCTAGAGGTCCGAGGAGAATGGGCCGACTGATTCAAGCTGATAGAAGAGCAACTTTGACTGAAATAACCACTCGTTACAACCGAGGTATGCAGCAAAGCATTTGTGAAGCCACAACACATCAACCTTGAGGCGGATGGGCTACAACAGCAGAAGACCCCACCGGGTACCACTCATCCAACATTTCTAAAGAATGCTTTCAGCACCTTGTTCAATCAATGCCACGTAGAATTAAGGCAGTTCTGAAGGCGAAAGGGGGTCAAACACAGTATTAGTATGGTGTTCCTAATAATCCTTTAGGTGAGTGTATATATATTTATATATATATTTCAAAGGCTGCTCTATGACAGTTTCTCAGTAATAATCCCATTTTTTTTCTTCTGAGGGCAGCTCTAAATCCAGAACACAGCTGCCATATTAATGACATACCAGCCAACCACACAGTTCAGAGCCAGACACTTTGTCCTTCTCTCTATTTCTCTCACACTTTCTGTCGGTCTACTGATGAGGCTGAGTGAGAATGTTGCTGTGGTGATGTCATTTGTTGCCTAGCAACAGCTGTCCCTGGGCAAGCCACAACCAGGGCCTCTGCGGGAACATTTTGGATTATTTGGGGATGTCGATTTCATCAGCGGTTTCTTGCAGCACTCTGCAGTGCAAAGGTAGGACACGAGACTATGTGAGAAGAGATAAGATGAAGAAAAGACACAATGGGGTCTTAATTTGAATAAATCCTCAAAGATCTGCAGGGTTCAATTAAATTTGTACTAAAATGATTATTCTAATAATGATTATTCTAAAAATTTGTAATACAACATTTTTTATTAAAATAGAAAAATGTCAAATAAAAACATTTTCACTAGTGGCCTTTTGAATCCCACTGTATGTAACAAAGTCAGCATGAAGTGGAAGTTTAGTCTTTTGTTCCCTTTTGTGACATATATCCAAGTGAAATGGCTTCTTGAACCAGAAAAATGTAGGGCAGTACTTGATTTTGTCCATCAGGAATGGATTGGATCGTTGTGGTTTTTATTGCTAAAATCTCATGTGAGTCACAGGTTGTCCCGACCTTGCATCTTTAATGAATTTAATCTTTAATTATTTGTGTTCTTTTTTGTGGATGTGGGAACACCCATGGTGGACGAGGGTGTGGGGGTTGGCGAGCCCCGGGGAGTTTCTACAGCTCTTGACACCCTTCAGTCCTACTGCTGACAGGCTCCGTCTTCAATTACTGCCCGAAGGGGATGATGAAAAAAGCTTTCTGACAGCAGTAGCCTATTTCAACACATCCTTACAGCTATGCTATGTTGACCATAATTATGCTCATCAATTCTCCACAAATTCTCTTTGTCTGTTACATTTGCAGTTTACCAGTAACTCTAAATCACATATCATGCCATTGTTGTGGAATACTGTTCCTATCACAATTAGAAATGCTTCAACTGGAATGTTTCAAGAAGTTAAGACTTATTTTTTTTTTACTAACTTGTTATTTATTTCATTTTAATTGTTGTTGCATCTTTTTCTATTTTATACTCACTGTTGTGGCGCTTTGAGTGCAGAAAAAAAAGCACATTACCAACAAAATGTATTATTATTAGCCTTTAATTAGCATGTCTGTGCTGTTTCTACGATTTTAGACTGTAGGGAAGATTGTTGACTGAACTCAGGGTACTTTATTAATACACAATCTGATAACAGTTTTAAATGATTTTAGGTTGTAGAAAACTATGTACCTGTTAGTTTAAGATGGTTAGCATGCAACTGCAGTTAGTGAGTGTTCACCACTGAACACCTGCGAGAACTACGAGTGCTCTTTATCTGTGAGCGCGCGCCCTCCACTGGTGTGATTCAAAACAAACCACCGTCACAGCATCTACGCAGTGAGTATGTTCTTGTGTGTTTGTGCGTTTTACAGTGAGTAGCCTATATATTGTTGTTGTTGTTTTGGCTGTTCGTTTAGATACTTCTGGAACATTAAACGAGACTGTGTTTAACCTGGCTGCAACTGAATGCCTACTGGTGGTAGGCAGGCCTAAATATGGTAGTAAAGGCCCCAGGCAACACCAAAAAAGAAAAATATGATCAATGATAGATATTCAATCATAGTTCTTTAAAAGTAGGCTAACTGAAAATTGCCGTACTTTTATAACAATATGTGAGCTTGTGAACTCCTTTGTACAAAAGGTCAGATTTCCATATTTGCATTGCACACACATTTGCACACACAATTTTAAGACTCATCCATTCACGCATATTGTTGAGGATAATGCAGTGACACTGTCACTGATGCATACATAAAATACCTAGAAAGCGTATCACCCCGTTTATTGAGCGTAAACTGGAGCAAATGAAAACAATAAAATCAAATCAAATATATATATTTTTTTAATCAATGCAATTATCATAAATGCTACTATAAAAGTCAGGAGGGTGCAAATTATTAGATGATTAATCTAATGAAATTTACTAAAACAGGAAATCAATACAAAAACTAAATCTTGTAAGGTACAAAGTAAAAAAAAAGAGAGTTTAGGAACAGAAAGAAAGAAATTTCAGTGAATTACATCGCTAATAATAACCACAATAATAATGATTCAATAATGTATGTTGATCACTGGCTCATTTTGTCCTTATGGCTGCTTTAATTCTCATTCATAGTCAATCAAAAAAATGGCACAATCCTTAATCAGCTACAGAAGGACAAATAATCGTGCATGTTCACAACTACATCTGTGTGCTTAATCACAATGACGTCTTCATTCTCTCATTGAGGTCTCTATGAAATGGGCACTGAATAACAGGGCCCTTACAGTGTTTGGGTTTATCAAAGCCTTTGCAATCAAACCCATACTTCATATTACAATATAAAACAGTACAATTGTGCTCAGGTTACAGTATAAAAACCTACTCGGTATGATCCCTACACTATCACAGCTGGTGACATGAAACTGCTCCCTCTAGTGGCAGAGGAAGTGATGTAATATAGGCCTTCCTCTCCCATCATTCCGTCTTCGTCTTCGTCTCTGTCATCATGGTAAGGAGTCGTTTTGTCCTCCCAGGAAGGCTCATGATGATCCTTGTCATCATAGTATACTAAATGATCCTGTCAGAGTAGAGATTGTTGTGTTGTGATTAGAGTCAAGGCACATGTGTTTCTATGATAGAGAGGATTATGATCTGTGAGTAATACGCCTGAATTATGCATGGAAAATGAACATGCCATCAAATATGTATGATTTACCACCTTAAATGCCACAACGGATTAGAGGAATAGAGAGAGGGAGAGAAATGGCCTCTTACTGTCATTGGCTCCTCTTTCTCGGTCTCATGGTGCATGAGCTCAGTAGACTCAGGTTTACTGATGCTCGGCTACAAAAGGAAAGGAAAAGAAAAGGGTCAATTGCTGCGCTTTATGGAAGCTTGTTTCTGCCACTGAATAAAAAAAAGTAATCACGACTTTTTATCTCACAATTCTGACTTTTTTCTCACAATTGCGAGTTTACAACTCACACTTCTCAGAGGAAAGAAAAGTCACAATTGTGAGATAAAAAGTAAAATTACTGTTTTCTTTTTTATTCAGTGGCAGAAACAAGCTACCATAATTATAGGTGAAAAGTTTCTTCTGAAAGAATTTCAGATTTTTTGGTAGATTTTTTTTCAGACTGTCCTAATCCAGTTTGAGGATGGCAGTCCATCCAGTGTTGCTATTGTTAACTAATATATGTATAAATTAAATAATACATTTAAAAAAATGGAAAGTTTTTAATTAAAACAAAAATTAAATGAAAATTAGAAATGTTGTCTGAGCAACTAACTGAAATAAAACTTCTTAGATCATAAAACAGGAACTGAGCAAAACTAATAAAAGAATCACAAGAATTTCCATCTTCCTTAAAAGCACTTTCACTATTTTAAAGAAAACATTTCATGCATTTCCACTAAAATTCCCATCATATCCCCTTTTGCTTTGATGACAGCAGCACTCAAGCTACATTAACTTCACAAGTTAGTGTAAAACCTGATGATCATGATCTCCAGCATGATTTGAGATGATCCAAAGAGCATCTTGTGCTTCAATGAATGCAAGAACATCTGACTGTCTGTACAAAGATTTTTAACATGATCAACGTTACAAGTGTACTTGTTTGATTAGTGACCAAGGTCAAACTTTATATCAGGTGCTTTAAACTACTATGTACTTGTCAAAAAAATTATTAGATAATTGTACAATGTTGAAATACAAATGTCA